CCCGACTGGCTCGTTTCACTTAGTACAGTGTCCCCAAGGTTCACCCAGCTGCAGCACGTGGCAGGCCAGCACTTTCTCGAAGGCTGAGCCATAGTCCGCAGTATGTCTCGCTCACCCGCCGATGGGCGTTTGGGGGGCTCCCGCCTACTGGCCATTGTGAGCAGCGATGCCGTGAGCTCAGGTGTGCAAATCTCTCTTTGGGACCCTGCTTTCAATTCTTTTGGATTTAGGCCCAAACACGGGGTGGCTGTATCGTACGGTGGTTCTGTTTTATAATTTTTTGAGGAGCCTCCGCACTGTCTGCCACTCGTTGCATCATTTCACAGTCCCGCGAATGGTGCTCGAGGGTTCCAGTACTTCTGCGTGCTTGCCAGCACTTACTAATTTTAGTTTTTTGACGGCAGTCATCCTAACAGGTGTGAGAGGATAGCATACTGTGGTTTTGAGCCGCGTTTCCTAATTGTTAGTGGTGCCGAGCATCTTTTCAAATGCTTGTTGGCCATTTGTGTGTCATCTTTTGAGAAAGGCCTGTTGTCCATTTTTAAATTGGGCTATTTGATTTTTTTACTGCTGAGCTGGAAGACTTCTATATTTATATACTCTATATGTTAACTTCTTATTGGATAGATGACGTGAACCCTCTCTCAGCCCAGAGCCTGCCTTTTCACTCTGGTCACTGTGTGCTCAGATGCACAAGGGTCTACGTTCGATGTAGTCCCACGCGTCTAGTTTCTCTTTCATTGCCTGTGCACTGGACTCAGACCAGGACTTGCACCCACAGCTCCTCTGGTCCTCGGGCCCTTGGACTCAGGCTGACCTGCAGCACTAGCTTTCCTGGATTCTCCAGGTTACAGGGGACAGATCACGGGCCTTCTCTGCCCCTGTAATCGCGCAGATGGGGGTTATAATAACCACAGCGCCTGCCATTCATTCATTCATTCATTCATTCATTCATTCATTCATTCAAAGAGCAGGGGATACACTGATGAGCTAGATGAGCGCACTAGAGCTCAAGCTGCTGTTAGTTTAATAAATAAACGTAGAAGCGCTGACTCGGAGGCCCTTAGGAACCTGCAGCGTGTTTCAGGGAAATCAGTTTTGCCTACACCAGGAGCAATGACTTTCACTTACTGTCAAGCCTGGGCCGGGGCATCACGCCTTCGGTGTTTATCAGGATGTCCGAGTGCAGGAAGATGTTCCACTCTTCATCCGGGAGGGCCCCCAGGTCGTCCCGCGGCGGCCTCTCGCTGGCGTTGTTCTGCATGACCGAGGTGCACAGCAGGAAGGAGAAGCAGAGTTTATGCTGATTGAACAGCGCCGCGCACACCACCTGCGGGGAAAACGGGCCGTGAGAGTGACCCCGCCGAGCCCACAGCGTTTCCAAACTCACATTTCAGGGTGCCTCACCTTAAATACATTTCTTGTCAACGTATCTATGGAGTTTTTCAGGTGCCCCTCGGAGGGTTTTTTCTCATGCTTTGTCTTCGGTTCTTTTGAGAGGTTTACCGTTTCGTGCAGTCTTCTCAGAGACACTTTCTCCCGTTTCAAACCGTGCTCTTGCTCTTTGCTTTTGGAAACCACGGATGAGACGAAAACCTGGCGGAACCAGTCCAGGGAGAACTGGTACATGTAGCTGATCTGGGCCAGGCCGGCCACGAGGAAGTAGAGCACGGCGCCCCGCGTGGCGATGGGGAGGTAGTTCCTCCGCGTTTCTTGAATTTCGCTTTCTGCCTTTTCTGCTGCACTGATGCGCCTGGAAATTTCATTCGAAGTGATTTTGGATTTTCTTAAGATGTCTACGATCTCCTCGTTATCTAAGACACACCCTAAACACGGACAAAAAAGAAACTGGGATAAAAACCACTGGGCTCTTCAGTGGAAGTTTCCTCTTCTGGACTTTTGAGGTCGGAGTTTTTAACTATTGGCTTTTGTTGCGTTTATTTTGGAGATGAGCTCTGAGGTGAAGGTAAGTCCTATCTGTAATAAATCTGATTAATGGCACACGTGGCCCTCTTCCCCCCGTCTCTGCTTTATATTACTTTAGTGTCTGTGGACTCTGTTTTTATTGTAGGCACATAAATAGTCCTTCCATCACGAGGAATACATTTCCACCGTGACTCGCTATACAACAGAAAAATGAAAACGGGATTTCCAGAAATTAACGAGTGCACCATGATTTCATGTAACACACTCTGGCATTTTCTATTGAATTCTATTTTTTAAACAAACGCAAGTGACAATGACCAATGAAATGGATTTCTCAGCCCACTGACAGGGTGCCGGTTTCTGGGAAGGGGAGAGGGGCTGCAGGTCGCCTCGATCGCCGATGGCCAATGGCTTCATCAACCTTGCGCCTGTAAACCCCCGGAGGACGGCACTCGGACGGCGTCTGGGTTGGTGACCAGGTGGCGTCGGGAAGGAAGCTCCGCACCCTTCCCCTGTTCTTGGGCCCAGGAGTTTCCTGCATTTGGTTGTTCCTGGATTATATTCCTTTATGATAAACCAGCTTCTACTTGTAAACAGGTTTCCTCAGTCCTGTGATCAACTTTAGCAAAGTAATTGAACCTAAGGAGGGCGTTAAGCTTCCAACCTGTAGCCGGTCTGTCAGGGGTACCGGTGACGACCTGGGCTTGGGCCTGGCCTCTCGCAGGACAGGGCTCGAAACCTGTGGACTCCGACGCTGTCTCAGGCGAGTGTCAGGGCGGAGGTGAACGGAAGGACACCAGCCGCTGTCACCCCGCTTGCTGGCCTGCGAGGAACCCCGTCCCCATGCTGAAATCGGGTACTCGGCACCCTTTAGGGGCAGATCTCTCACTGTGCCCAGGAACTTATAATGCTTTTTGTTTAGTTCTTTAGAAATTACACGTGTCTACGTTTAAAGACTACGGTTTCTCAGGCATTTCTCGCTGAGGTGGAACACCCTTTCTACTGCTATTTTAATAAACATCCTATTTTAATGGGACACACACACGTCACTGGATGGTGTCCTTTTGTATTTTAGTTATTAATACGTGGGGGACACTTAATCTTTTGGTCTCTAGGGTCTAACTTGATACACACAACAGAAGGCAGGTACCTGAAGNCACTTAATCTTTTGGTCTCTAGGGTCTAACTTGATACACACAACACATGGCAGGTACCTGAAATTCAGGTAACGAGCGAGAAGGGGACTAACCAGTGTCTCTAAGGTTTTCCTCCCAACGACTCTGATCATACGGTGGGAAGCGTCCTGTGGCGTAATGAGCTAAACAGAGGTAGGCGCCGAGGAACATCGAAATCGACAGTGTTTTAATTTTAGAAATGGGGCGCTTCACCTGTGTTCATCAGTCATTTGGTAGTTTCGGTGCCAGTTCAGAATACGGTCCCTTGTAACTCTTGCTGTGCCCTTGGTGAAGGCATGCCGAGGGCTCCCGCCACCACCGGGTAGCGTAACCTACCTTGCGTGTTCTGCAGTAAACTTAACGTTTTTTCCTCCAGTTCCTGAAGAGTCATAGCATCAAGGGAAATGCTCTCCAGTAACTTGAAACGTTGATTTTCGAGATGAGGGACTTCGTGACTTAACATGGTAGATAGGAGCTGATCTTGCAAACCCTGGAACGTTACCGTGAAGTTGATCATAGTAACGAAGTTATAAACGGATGGAGGGAAATGTGGGTTGTCTATTTCTGTAGATATGTATAACCTAGAACATGAGAAAGGCACCCGTTATTTGAAGGGAGAAAAATCCATTATTTAATCATGGAAAAAGTGTTTCCCCCGGAAGGAAGCAAAGCTAAGTTTAAGGGTTATTCAGCCTTGTACAAAAGCAGGCTCTCGATTTATACTATGTGAACATATTTGCTATTTATGACTTTAAAAACACAACCATACATTGTGTCCATACATTTGGTTGAAGCATAAGACAGAGTTAGACACATGCTAAGTAGTAGGGGTTTTGACCTGCCGCTAGATCATGGCAAAGACTATGGTTTTTACCCCGAGTAAGAAGCCAGTGGAGGGCAGCCACTGTGGAAAACAGTATGGAGATTCCTCAGAAAACTGAAAATGGAGCTGCCTTTTGACCCAGTGATCCCACTTCTAGGAATGTATCCTAAGAATCCTGAAACACTAATCAGAAAGAACTTATGCACCCCGATGTTCATAGCAGCGTTACTTACAATAGCTAAGATCTGGAAACAGCCCCAGTGCCCATCAGTAGGATGAGTGGATAAAAAGCTGTGGGGCATTTACACCGTGGAATACTACGCAGCTATAAAAAAGAGGGATCTCGTACCCTTTGGGACAGTATGGAGGGACCTGGAGAGTATTGCGCTAAGCGAAATAAGCCAGGCAGAGAGAGACAAACATCACATGATCTCACTTCTATGTAGAATCTAAAGAACTTAATAAACTGATGTACAAAATGGATCCAGAGACATGGAGGCATAGATCAGAATGACGGATCTCAGAGGGATGGAGGAGGGCGGGCAGGGAGAGATTAACCAAAGAGCTTACATGCATATATGTACAACCCAAGGACACAGACAAGTGTGGTGAGGGACTGGGGAGGGGTGTGGGGTGGAAGGGGTCAATGGGAGAAAAGGGGACATCTGTAACATTCTGAATAATAATAATAATAATAAAAAGCAGCCAGTGGAGGGATCTGAGTAGAGACGACATGACCCGTTTTGAACAGGCCCCTCTATCTGCTACCAGGGAGCAGCCTGTGCAGGGGGAGGCGGCGGGAAGGAGGGAGCTGGACTGAGGCAGAAACAAGGAGACTGGTTAGCATGTGAGGGGACGGTGGCTTGGAGCAGGTGGCACCGGTGGGAGTGGTCAGGAGTGGCCGGACTCTGGTTCTAGCTTAGTCTTCATTGCAACCCAGTAAAACAGAAACAACGCTTTCCTTTTTATACAGGGTGACGGGAGACTCAGAGAGGCTGAGTGAGTCGCCCACAGCACACGGCCAGGACGTGACAGGATGGGGCATCCGCTGCCAGTCTGCCCTCCGCCACCTCCTCAGACACCCAATTCAAACGCGGGACCAGGTGGTCAGCTCAGGAACACGCCACCCCACTAGCACAGTTCCTGCAAACTCTCCCTGGAACCCACAGGCTTCACCAGGCACAGTGTGAAAAATCAAAAATGACATTCAAAACACAATGTTGCTGTTTCCTCCTGGACACGCTTATCAGGGCTGAAATACAGCCGCAATGTTGTCGTCACAAGAAAACAGAAACGTTTGACGCGACTTCACTACGACATTACCTAAATGTGGAGTTATATTCAATCTCAGTATCATCGACCCGTATGAAGCACTGTCCCCTTCTCTGAAAGATGTCTTTTTTCAAAATTGCCTTTAAGCCCGGAGCCAACGTTTCAGGGAGATTCTGAAAAACCCAAGAGACATGAATAAAAAATTCATCTTGCGAAAAGTAAATCAATTGGAAAGACACAGCTTTTACAACGTGCAAATCTTGTGACTATCTGGACAACAGTAAAAGACAGATCTGAGAGAACTGAACGTTGAGAACTCACTGTATGTACGTCTGTCTGTATTTCCCCTGACAGCTACCTGTCGGTTACTTAAAGCCCTCAGTCGTTACGCTCAGTGTGCGTGTCAGCTGCAAGGAATCTGGGGAAGTAGGCCGTTTTGTACTAATACCTGCAAGAGGACGCTCCCCCCTGTTCTCATGGCATTTTCAATGTTTTTGATGTAACTGCTGTCCTTAATGGAGAGCTCTTGAAGCCTAGGTCCTTCCATCTGGCGGATCCAGTTGCAAGCTTGCTTGTGTGGGTCAATCAGCAGCGGCCACTGCAGGCCGTTCTTGATCAAGATGGCATTTTCCGTTGAATACTGACCAAGGGGTAGCCCCTGATGGTGCCATCGACGGATCTGGAATGAAATCATGAGTGCTGTCATTGCTTACAGACTTCTTCACGTCTTTAATGCCTACAGGACATCCCCCCTCTCCCCCGTCAGTCACTTAGTAGCCCAGGTCGACTGTCGTGGTATTGCCGTGCCGGTGTTCAAGTCAACCTTACTTGACTTAATAATGGCGGCCAAATGCAAGAGTAGTGGTGCTGGCAATCCACCAATGCCAGAGAGAAGCCGTGATGGGTTTCCTTTCAGTGAAAAGCTATGTATATATAGAAAAAAATGTGGAGCAGACCGACAACTGTCAGAGGGGAAGGGGGAGGGGAGGACCAGATGACAGAAGGCGAAGGGATTAGCCACAGAACATACACGCATAACCCACAGACACAGATGACAGTGTGGTGACGGCCAGAGGGAATCGGGAGTGCCGAGTGCAGGTGGGCAAAGCAGGGGGAAATGGGGACACCTGTAATAGTGTCAACAATAAAAGTAAAGCAAAAAAAACCACACACACTGTGTTTTCAGGCATTCACTGGGGATCTTGGACTGTATCCCCTGTTGATGGCGGGGGGACTATGGTACACTGGATCTATAGGTCAATTTGGAAAAAACTGTCAACTTCACAATATTGAGTGTGCCAATTCATGAACATGGTATAACTCCTTATTTGTTTGGGTTTTAAAAAATTTATCTCAATAATCTATAGTTTTATTTCTATAAGGTTTATGCTTTTTGATAATTCATTTTGATGCTATATAAATAGTATCCAAAGACACTGTGCACCATTGGTGTTGCTGGTGTAGAGAACTGCAATTGGTTTTTGCACATTGACTTTAATCCAGAAACTTTGCTAAACTTTTATTAATGCTCATGATATATGCACATCTTCTCTTAGGTGGTTCTAGGTACATACCACCTTCAAAAATTTCAATTTTTTGTTTCTCCTTGTTCCAATTCTAGTGTCTTTTATTTCTTTTTCTTGCCTTACCGCACCACCTAGGATCTCTGGTACAGGGTGAAATACACGTGGCGGTGGTGGGTAACCCCTAGTCATGTTTCCAATCTCAAAGGGAAAGCTTTCACCAGGGCTCATGTTTTCAGTCATTTCTTAATGACTTGTGGTTAGGAGTGTATTTCCCAATTTCCAGGAGTATCAGGGTTTATCAAAGAAACTTAATTACTGACTTCTAGCTAACTGCACTGTGATCACACAACATATAATGTAAGTCCCTGACATCTGTTGAACTCTATTTCTGGTCCGCTACACGGCTGATCTTGGCAATGTTCTCTACGTGCTTGCATAGTTAGTGTAACCTGCCACGCAGGCTGCCGCGTCCTATTTATGCCTATTATCCGTTTGTTAATGAAGCTGTTCAAACCTTCTCTATTCTTAATGGTTTTTGTATTCTTTTTCTGAGTTACAGAAAGAAGGGTGTTAAAATTTTTCACTATGATTGCAGATTTGTCCATTTTTATATGAAATTCTTTTAATGTTTGCTTTATATGATTTGAGGTAATGTTATAAGGATATTTTGTGACTTTTGCCCAGAGGATTTGAAACAGGAGATGTAACTGATTGAGGCATTAGAACTATAACTTAAAAACATTTTAAGGCCTGGAATAGACGTTGGCATTTTCATTTATCAAAATAATTTGGGGAAAATATCCAAGCCAAAAAAACGCACACACAAAATCCAAGTCAACAAGAAAGCCACTTAAGTGGATATCAGAAATATGTTCATACCTCCTGTGTTTGTGCCATGACTTCAATTAAAGAAAAGTTAGAAGACAAAGAAATGCTGTTTTCAGTGCAAAGATTCTCCCATGTGTTCACAATCAACTCTCGAAATTCGGCTGTCAAGACTCCGCTGTAGACAATGCACGCTGCCGAAACAAGTATGTCGCCCAAAATGCCTTCCAACTTGGCGTCTATTTGGTTGATTGTTTCTTGCCATCGAGTCTAAATGTTAAAATAAAAACAAGTTACTGGTATTTGCTATAAGATCTACCATTTTGACACATTTCAGACACTAATGGTCTCCAAGTTAGATCTCTCATTGCCATTTCTATCACTCTTCTCATGTCACAGTTGAAATCCAATTAATTGTGGATAAAATTTAAAAACACACCTTTTTGAGGGAACATGAGTCCTATTCTTGAATTTGTTAATAGCTTCATATTTGCTAAGAATGGTAGGCTTTTAAAAATCCTTGGTGTAACAAAGCAGGATAATTTTAAAAACAGAAATTCATTAGACTATATTAATGGTGTTCAATAATAATAATAGCGATCACTTATCTGACACTTTGTTTTGAAAATCCCATCTGCCTCTTTCAATACCGCACTGTTTAGTAAAAGCCACTGGCTTCACTGAGGATGAAGAAGTGGAAGTTCAGAGCCGCTGGGCAACTTGCTCAAGCTCACAGGGCTCCCGAGGGCCACGGGGGTGGGGACCCACGCTCCCGGGCTGCGGGCCTCCCACAGCCACGCGTGCGCCTCACTGGGCAGCAAGCGAAGCCGGCTGGTCAAGGGCCCTGCCTCCTGCCTCTCAGCACACATGGTCTCAAGGACACCTGTCGTCTTCTGAGGGACAGACTCTCCCCCGCTCGGTCTGATCTCATAACCCTCCACCCAGCCCTGCAGGAACCTTCCCCGCTATGCACCGATTCAGACCATTCAGCCAAACTAAAATTATCTTGAGAATCTGGTAACGTCTCTGGAGGTAGCTGAGGTATGACCACGCCAAGGCTCTGCTCGGGGGTCACTGAAGGCGTGAGACAAGCGGGGGCCGTGCCTTTTCGTCGTCCAGAGCCGTCAGCAGGAGGGACGCACAGTGCAAGCGCCTAGTGGCCAGTTGTCTCCGACTTGCTAATACTTCTTTCCCAGCGACAATGTCTTTGTAGGCTGCCTGCAAAAACAGCAAATGTTCTTCCACCTGAAAGACAATTTATTTATTATTGAGACTAACCTTACTCTCATGTTGCTTCAAGAGCTTATTTATATTTATATTTATATTTATATTTATATTTATATTTATATGAATATAGGATCATTCATATAAATGGCTTTTCAGACCCTGGAAAAATCTTCCAGGAGAGATAGATTACATTACCAGTGACAATGTACATCATAAAAATTCAGTGAATGGTCCCTTGATAGTGAAGTTTGTTTTTTAAGATGCCATCCTCAATAACTTACCTAGAAGAAAATGCAGGTACGAAACTTATGGACTTTGGTCCTAGAGAGGATTTGATGAGTTTGACCCCAAAGGCAAGGGAAATAAAGGCAAAAAACAAATGAATGGGACTGTATCAAACTAAAAAGCTTCTGCACAGCGAGAGAAACCGCCAACGCGCCCGGAAGGCAGCCAACCAAAGGGAGAAGATATCTGGAAACAGTAGCTCCCGCAAGGGGTTACTATCCGAGATCTATGAAGAACTCACACAGCTCACCACCGAAAAACAGCCCAATTAAAAAAACGGGCAGAGGGCCTGAACAGACACTGCTCCCAAGACGACATACACATGGCCAGCAGATACGTGAAAAGCTGCTCAACCTCACTGGCTGTTAGGGAAACACCAAAACTACAAGGAGACGCCACCTCACACCTGTCAGAGCGGCTGTGACCAACAGGACAGGTAACAAGGGCAGGAGAGAAACTCTCCGCCACGGCTGGGGAAACGGCAACTGGCCCAGCCACGGAGGACAGTGTGGACGGGCCTCAGAACACTTCAGGCTGAGCGGGTGGCCCAGCAATCCCTCTCCTGGGCATCTGCCCGCAAAGACTGAAAACACCTATCGGCAAAGAGATCTGCACCCCCACGTTCACTGCAGCACTGTCCACGGCGGCCGAGGATGGAGCAACCAGGTGTCCCCTGACGGACGGCTGGACAGAGGAGGTGAGGGACATGCACACAATGGACGGCCACCCGGCCCTTAGAGAAGATGGATGGACCGTGAGAATATTACGCTGAGCAAAATAAGCGAGACAGAAAAAGCCAAGAGCCGTATGATTTCACTTATGTGTGGGATTTAAAACCGAACCGCATGGACACAGACAACAGGGGGAAGGGGGGCAGCGAAGGGGAGAGGGGGCCAAATATGTGGTGACGGAAGACGACCTTTGTGACGGAGGCAAACAATGCGTATCCAGATGTTCCATGGGGGGCTCCGCTCGAAACCTGTACGATCTTACTGGCCAACATCGCCCCGATAAATTTAATTTAAAAAGAAAATTTAGAAAAGAGGGGGGCACAGGAGAACGAGCCATAAGGATGCTCCAGGAGACCAGGATAAAGGATGCCGGCACCTTGGCCCGGGGATCTTCCAACTTTTTATCTCACGTATCCCCCAAATTATTAGTAAAATGACGTGTCCCCTCGTATATTTTCAAGATAACATTTGTATTTTCCGTCATGTTTAACGATTAAAAACGATAGTTTCTGCCGTTTTGTGTTGTTTGTTGGGCCGCCGTCTCTGAAGGCCGCATCCGCTCTCAGGATGCATGTGACAGGGGCCGATGACCTAATTCTGCGCAACGGTGTCTTCACAGAGCCACCGAGTAGCTGGTGTCAACGGGCTAAGCACAGTTTTTTTTAAAGAACGCAGGTTGATACTGAGAGTAAATCTTTGGTAGACCGAAGTCATAAATACCCCCTGGGGGAAATCTGGTAAAATGCGATAGTCACACGTTATTGACACAACAGTAACGAACATTACGGAGTGTTTTAAGCTGCGGCAGGTCCTCAGGCCTTCGCATTTATATTATTCACTTAGTCGTAACTAATCTCTCACCACCTCCATCATTATCTCCGTTTTATCTTAAACCGATACACTCTCCTGAGCCCCCGGCTTTTTCCTGATGTTTCTGTCTAGTTCATAAATGTGTTGACGGTTTAACGAGTAAAAAAAAAAAATTTCCTTACCAGCTGTAAACCCCTCTGTTTTTCAGCCAACCGCTGCCTTGCGATTTTTAGGACGTTTTGCGCTTCAGCTACTTGGATTTGCTTAGGGCCCACCAGCTGAAAAGGAACGTCACAACCGTCGGGCGTTAAAAAGAGTCCAGTTCACTTTTCCAAATGAGCTGGAATTAGAACTTTTCTGGAATTATTTGTACTAAAGAAATAGAAAAGGAGTTTAAAATGGCGAAACTTATTAAAGCAAACAAATCCAACAGCAGCATAAATGAAAGGGTTGGACGGGAGTGTTGATGTCTGCGAGGTAGCAGGCGCTTGATCCCAGTGTTTTTCACTAGGTGTTCTTTCCAGGGAAGTTCACCTGGGTGTTGCCAAAGGCATTACCTTCTGCACTTCATTGTAGTTACTCAAAGCTATGATCCACTCGCACATAGAGCAACAGGCGGCCGACACCAGGGCAATCTTTTTTGGGTTGAAATCGTGTAAGATTAAAAATTTTTTCAGCTTCACAAAAACCTAGAGAGAGCACAGTGGATGTGAGAAAGAAATATGACTGACCTGAAGTTTATAAACACCTTGCTACTGCTGCTGTTGTGACGGTAGCTTTGCTATAGTTGTTTTTTTTTTTTAAAGGAACTCCATTTTAAAATGAAAATAAAACCAGCTTTGCAAAATTTGGTGTACGTGGAGGTGTGGAGTCTCCCTGGCGTGCACCCCAGGTGTGAGGGGGCTGGGAACACCGTACCCCACCTTCTGCCCCCCAGGAGGGGGATCGGCAGGGCACAGTCCCTGTTCAGAGGTCCAGCTGGTCAGCGGTGGAGGTGTGGCCTGGGCACACTGGGACTCTCAGGACACCCTCTCGCTTAGCTGTGTCACAGGCCTACAGAGCTACTTCATCTAATGGGTACAGCCTCGTTTAGAGGCAGATATGTACGATTTCTCATCTACTTCTGGGAGCCATAAGCAGGTTTCTTTCTCAGATCTCTTCTCCCTTCCTTTCCAACCAGGCATTTTCTCTGTTGCCTAAAAGGACAGAACCATTTAGCTGAGTGAGTGATTTTTTTATATCTTTATTGATTTTAGAGAGGGGGAGGGGGAGGGGGAGGGAGAGAGAAACGTCAATGATGGGAGTCCTGGATCGGCGGCCTCCCGCACGCCCCCTGCTGGGGATCGAGGAGCCCGCACCCCAGGCATGTCCTGGGGACGCAGTGCACACCGCGCTGTGTGTGTGCAAGCTGTTACGGGAGCAGATCTGAAAAATTATCATCCCCGGGAAAAAACAACTACCACGTGGTGACTCACTATGGCGATCATCCTGCAATACGTACAGACTACCAATCATCATATTGCACACTTTAATGTAACGTTATATGTCAATTACATCTCAAAAAAAAATAAAAAATGTCAGAAGCATTTGTCCACTCGTCGCACTTTCAATGTGGTTCAATCTCCAGAAAGCGCCCCCCCCCACCGGCCACTTCTGTTCCCATTACTCAGATTCTGAGACACGGCATTGTCTGGTTTGGGCGACATCGCTTTTCCTTGCCACCCCCAGAAAGCCGACCATTTTCAGAGGTGCAGCTTGCATCCCTCCGTCGCCTCCCGGTTCTAATTTTAACACTTCCACTGGACTCGTGGGGTACAAGTACGAACGTGCCAACCGCGCACGGGTTCGCGATCCACTCCTTACCTTCTCGGGTATCCTGTCCTTGTCGAGGTTCACCAGCTTTTTCAGGAACCCGGTCTCCGAGAGCAGCAGCTTGGCCGTGGCCCAGTTCGGCTTCTTCTGCAGCAGGATGCACACGGCGTTCATGACGGTGAGCACGAGGAAGGGAGGCCGCGTGTACACCCTGCGGGAGGCAGAGGCCGGTCAGCGGCGCGGCGGGAGGCGGGCCCCCCGCACACGGCCCGGGCCGCACACGCGCTGGTCTTTAGCAGGGATCTTGGTAAGGGGAACGGTTCGCCAAGCCTTTTTCATTACTTGGGCATCTTTAAAAACAAGCCGTACGCAAAGGATTCGAGCGCCGGGCTGGTCTCCTTAGCGCCCGTGGCACTAGGACTGGGAAAGGGCTGCTTGATGGAGAATAAACTTCTAAAAGTGACTTGGGTTGAGCGCTTGCCCTGCGTCAGATGCTACTCGAAGTATTTTACGTGTTGGAACTCACCCAATCCTCTTAACCTCCGTGATCAGCCCCGTTGCATAAAAGGGAAGGTGAGGCACAGGGAGGTTACACAGCTAGAAAGCGGCAGTGGAATCCCGGGGATTCCAGCCCAGGGGGCTTGGGACCAGACCCACGTGCTCAAGGCACCGCCCCCCAGGAATCGGGCCAAAGGGAACCTGAGCTGGTGTCCTCTTGGATGACCTGCCGAAGAAAAGGCAAGAGAGCAGGACTTCTGGAAGGGTCAGGATCAGAGCGGGCTACTGGTGGGCAGGGCTGGGCCCTGCTACTTCTCTGACGTCATCTCTTGGCACCTCCCTTGCTCACTGAGCACCAGCCCATCCTGGTCTTCGGCAGCTCCTGAACCCCACCTGCACGTTGCTGCCCGAAGACGCCTGTCCTTCCACTCCTCCTGCTTGGAGTACTCTGCCCTCGAGGTCCCTTCCTAGCTTAAGTCCAGGCTGCACTCAGGTCCCTGCCTCTGCTGAGAGCTGTGACCTCAGCACCCGGGACAGGGCCCGGGGCATGCAGGACGTTTGCTGAATGAGTGAAATCGCGCACACGAGTGAAAGCCTGTGCACGAGGTGAGAAAGGGAAGCCACGTCCAGGACGCGCTCCCTTCCCCTTGTCTCTCTCTGGGCCTTTGTTTTTCAGCGTTGGGCGGAGTGACCTCATCACTGGGATATGCTCTGCTCCCCCCGTAAAAATACTCTGCTTACAAAAAACACCCTTTTGCCACATTCTGCCCTTATCCATAGTGTGTTATAAATATCACAGAGTTGCTTCTATTTCTGCACCTCTAATCGAAATACTACTTTCTCTAAATAATGGAAAACTCAAAACTTACCAAGATCTGGTGGGCAAGTGCCCGCTGCTTGAGCTGCAGAGCTCGAGTTAAAAATCATCTCTCCCAAAGATCCGAAGGAGAACCATTAGGTTCAGAGCTCTGCACCTTAAAGCATCTCCTTTCTGCTTGTGTTTTCTTAGGAGTTTCTCTTTTGAGGCTTTTCCCACACGGGGAAGCTCGGGTTCGGGAAAGAGCACACAGGGGAGTGCTTCCCACAGCGCCGCCTGGCGGCAACGGCCAGCAGCGCAGCATCGGCCGTGGGTCGCTGCGCCCTGCGGATCCGCGGGCTCTTAGCTTTGGAACCGCAGGCCAGGCGTTTCTATAATCGCCGGGCTTTTCTTTCTAGGCGAGGCAATGCAGTATTTTATCAATTCTAAGACGCGTATTTTCACATCTGAGACTGTGATTCGGTTTATAACCAAGGGCACATCCTACAGTTTCCCTGGTAGCGTAATGTGCCTTACGCTTGATGGTATCGTAACAATGATTAGACTCAGCATATATCACACATCATATAAAGCTTAAAGAACGCAAGCTGCGTTAAAATGACAGTTACTTTTGCCATGTATGCCTACTTTATTCGGAGCTTTTCCAACTCAAAAGAAACAGGCAAAGTACTCACCTTAACTCAGAGATATCGCCTTTATCCAGGGCATTCAGAGCCACGATGGCCTTCTCCAAAGCAGGCAGGACACTTTTCAGTTCATTGGCGGTTGTCTGCGATAAAGTTAGAAACCCCCAAATATGTATGAATGCACATGGCTGCGTATTTAAAATTTTTACATTTTGAACTTGGAAAACGGGAGCTGACATTTTTATAATGCCCAGAGTTTATGCACCTGCATGACTTAGGCGTGTACACACATGTTTATAACGTGCCCTAACTGTGGTCAGTCCCCACTAGGATTACAGGCTCCGTAGGGACAGGGACCCTGCGATTTTCACTCCTATTCTCATTTATAGTGTCATGCGCATAGTAGGTGCTCCATAAATATTTGCTGGGATAAATGCCAAAGTTACCCGGCGTGGGCACACTGTGTATTTAAGAGCAGCCAGCCTGACCTTCTAAATGCGGGGACTAGGGGCTAATTCTGCAGCTCTCTCGGTGACTCCTATTGATTATGTTTTCATTTTACCTGAGCGTATTCTTCCACAATTCGCACTTCTTCTGCCATAATTTCTTCATCCTGTTTAACAAGCTTCTGCACTTTCTCGACTACTTGTGAATCTTTCTGCAGTTTTTCCATTAAGGTCTCTTTTTCCTAAGGAACCAAATAATTCTCCTTAGTGTGAGTTTTAAGGGCTACATCTTTTTTTAAAAGAGGAGTTCAAGTAGCTCATTTCGTTATTATAAAATTGATCAAAATCAGCTTGGGATACATTTATCCAACAGACTAACAAGGATGGCTACAATAAATACGTCCTACAGCACGCGTGAAGAGCAGTGGTAAGTGATTCCTTCCAGAAAATACCTGGCAGCTGGTGAGTGACCACGGAACATTTCAGGTGGATTTGACTGATAACTATGGGATTTTTCTATGTGAGGTCTGGCCATTAGTTACACACCGATCATCACATTTTTAGTATCGAAATACAGTGATGTTAATGTTTTCCTCATTTTACAGATAAGAAACCGGAGACGGAGAGAGATCACACGGCTGCCTGGTAACAAAGCGAGAGCCGTAACCCACGCTTGTCAAGGGCCAGAGCCTTTGCTTTCCAACACTGTTCTATGTTAAACTATAAAAACCTTTAAAAAGAGATTTCAAACGAAATATACCTTTGTTTTTTGCTCTATCTGAGGACTGACAATCAAGAGCTCCTCCTGCATATCGGTAACCAGAGCGGTTGCCTCCAGGATCTTGGACAGGCCCATGTGGAAACGGTTCCTGCAGGGAACACAGTATTAAGAGGCGTGGTAGGCGGCAAAACAGTAACAGAGCAAGATACACTGTGATCGTGATCGGAAGGCAGCATGGTCAAGATGTCAATTCTTCCCAAACGGATACATAGGTTTAATGCAATTCCTGTCAAAATTGCAGTCAGATTTTTTTTTTTTTTTGGTAGATACAGTCGAGCTTATTCTAAAATTTATATGGAAAGGGGAAATGAGCTGGGACAGTAAAATTAATTTTGAAAAAGAGGAATAAAAANTTTTTTTTTTTTTTTGGTAGATACAGTCGAGCTTATTCTAAAATTTATATGGAAAGGGGAAATGAGCTGGGACAGTAAAATTAATTTTGAAAAAGAGGAATAAGGCGGGTGGAACCGCTATCTGGCTGCAAAGCTGATTACAAAGGGACAGTGATCACGATTGTGTGGTCCTGGCAGAGGGACAGACAGGCGGACCGGTGGAACTGGAGACAAAACCCAGAAAGAAAGCCCCCTACATGCTGTCAATTGATTTTTGAGTAAGATGCAAAAGCAATAGAGGAAGAAAAGTTGTTTCAAAAATACGAACCTTGAGCTAAACCTCACGCCTTATACACAAACGATCTCAAAATGTGAAAGATAAAACTATAATGCTTGTAGAAGAAAACATAGGAGAAAACCTTCGGGATCGGGGCTCGGTGAAGAGCTCCTGGGCCGGAGCTTCCGTTCCCACCTCGCCACGCTTGATAGATACAGGCAGCTGAGGACATTGATGACGGTGACCCCGCGTATCCAGTGACGACTTTTAAGGTGGTCCTGGTATGACCTGCACATCAGGGCGCGGGAGATGCTCTAGGATGTAGTGCAAAGTATATAAGGGAGACACTACTGGGCCACCCAGGGTCTCCTGGGTGAGGCATGGGGAACGCTGGAAAAAGGGTAATGTGATCGCGACAGATTGGGTCTCGCTATGTTGTGTTTGTTTTCACAAATAAAAGCACCGATGTAAAAAAATATATATAGACAGAAGTATAAATATAAAAATAAATATGTATTCTGATTTGGTCTTCAAGTCTTACCTCTTCGTTTGCATTTCTTTCTCCCGTGACCTCAAAATGTGTGCGAACGTATCCATGAATCGCAAGTAGCTCCTGGGAGTAACGTAATAATGCCTTCTAGTTTTATGGAAGTATTTTGTGTTCAAGTCGTCTATAGTTTTGTGGATTTGGACACATGTTGGGGCGAGTTTTTCTTTTAAGTTCTGAAAAATGATTTTTAAAGAGTTAAGAGAAAGCCATCTAAATACACATTCAAAAAGAGAGAACTGAACACTGCGAATAACTTGAGATGGTTTATCATTTTTGAGATGTGGGGCTGTAGAAAAGGGCCCTGGATGAATGGGGCAGGAATACATGAGTTTTAAAAGTCAGGATGATGTTAGGGTGGGAAGAGGCAACGATATGGCGAACGATCGACGACACGCCCGGCTCCTCCTACTAGGCTGACCCCGTTCTGCCATGGCCACCCAAGGACTGAGGGAACCACTGCCAACGGCCCATGTTTCTGGTGCTTTCTCTATCTCTCATCTTTCTTCCTTAAAGTAGGTTATTGATAGCAGGATATTCAGTTTTGTTGAGTAAAATAAAGCTGCAAAAATGTGAGGGCTCAAAGGATATACGAGTGAGCCAAACGAGACTAGAGAGAGAGTCCCCTTTGCTTGCTTTGGAGAGAATTGTGACTTAGACATAACCTAGTCTTAACTACCCATGTCCAGGCCACCAGGCAGCTGCGTTTTCTTCCCGGCTCCTCCCCCCCTTTTGGCCTTTGCTGTCCTTGAACGTTTGGACGGGTCAGGGTTCTGGGTCCCGCCCTGAGTTTCAGGCCCCGGCGCCTTCACAGCGCCTTCTGTCAGGGCCCCACGGGGATCCTCAGTGGGCTGACCCCCCTAGGAGAGATTCCGGCTGACTTGCGGCTCAGAACTCAGCTGATTCTGTGTGTGTGGCTCGCGCTTTCACGTCCTGCAGTTTTGGGGCTGCAGCCAAGCCAGGGAAGGTTAGTAGGAACACACAGAGGCCGCAGCTCCCCTACCACAGGCTCTGGGCCGCAAAATGCAAAGTGAAGGCTCTTCTTTTATGAAAATCTGCTGCCCGCCGGG